ATATATATATATATATATATATATATATATATATATACATACACACACACACACACTATAATATTCTTTTAATATAGCTGACATGTAAAAAGTTATTTCCGTAAAGAACTTACAGAGAATGTTCTTCAAATGCCAATTCATATTCAAATTTGGACAATAAAGTAACCTCGCTAACACTAAAGACAGTGTTATGGAAAGAGTGGCCTAATAAAGCAATCCTTAAATTATGGCTGAATGAAACCACAGGACGTGCTTCATGTCACCACCAGCATAAGCCCTCAGGGATGTGTATGTGCTTTTTATATTAGACTTCAGTTCTCCAGAGAATCCTGATGCAATATTATTGAACCACTAAAAGAGATACAGGCTGTCTTTCTCTATCCCCTTTCTTTATCCTCTATTTAACCCTTCCTTATTTCCAATATGAGACGATACTGGGCCGCTCTCCACCATGCTTCAGTCCAAAACCATTTTGTCGTTGAGACCAGAACAAAACCCCAATAACAAATCAGTGGAACACCAAACTTAAAAATGTGAATACAAAATGGTTTCTGGAGTAGCAATGACTACAGCACACTTATTTCTACATGCTTAGACTCAGTGAACTCATTTTTCACCTATAAGGAATGAATAAAAAGGTGAAGGAGGCAGGGGTTTAGTGCTTCAAAGGGGCATTAAAGTCTTAATGTCTTAAACCAGTGTAGCGAGAACCACTGTACGCTCTGAAACAGAGCATCCCACTGTCCCAGCCAGCGGGAGAAACCAGACAGCACTGGAACGACCCTTAACACAACAAGCAGTACTTTTTACAAGTCTAGTAAAATGTCTGCCTAAGCTCAGACATAATATACTGCATAATTGATCTGAAGTTCTGCTGAAACAGACAGCAGTCGCCCACTAAATCATCTATCAGAAAAACCTCAAGATGAATGTTTCATGTCTGTATCTTGCACCAGCTTGAGCTTTGTGAGCTCCAGGATAAGGAATTTCCTTGAAAAGAAAGATCTCCTCCTATTTTGCCTGTAATTCATCAATTTACGGGCAAAATTAAGTGCTGGCCAGTGTCCATGTGTTAAATAGACTCGAACCATTACCACAATTACCACTAAATATGACAAAATTTCCATGAAAAAATGCATCACTGTGGTTTACTCTTTCAATTTGGTATTGTAGCACTGCTAATATCATTAACCCTGTACAATAAGTTGCTTGTGCTATTTTTCATTTGTAAGTTACTGTGGATAAAACCATCTGCAAAATGAATACAAAAAAGAAATGACAAAAGTTTAATTTATATTCATGAAATTCATGAAAATACTTTGCAAAAAAAGGCTTAAATGTACAATGGCAGAACCAAGACAGCAAACAAGTTATATAACATACAAACCAAGGAATATAATAATAGATAATAAAGACATCTGGGATATTTCACAGCATGTCAAAAATCAACAGTAATTTCCTGTTTTCCATTAGAATAACCTAGTTCGGGCTTAGTTAATAAATGCCAAGTTTTAATAAAATGTAGCAATGGAACAATCTCATTTCAAAATAATGTAAGTTTTACATTTAAAAACATTCAAAAGTGTTCAAGTTGTTTGCTAGATGGTTGCACAGATATGCACAGATATGGTCACTAGATATGCACCTAGCAAACAACCTAAACACTTTAGAAGCGTCCCTTCTTGAGTCTAGGGTACTTTTCAGCCGGTTTAGTCAGCTTGGAAAAAACACAAGCCTGATCACTTCGTAAGTAATATCATAACTCTCCTCAACTAGCCGCATGATTTGAGGTATCATTCATGACTGTAGCACAGATGGTTTAATAGTTAGGGGTTTTGAAAAGTCAGAAAGATTGCAGAACTATACATATGAGCAATTGAAATAGCAAGAACCACTAATTATGCACCCAAGAATCAAGCTTAGAATGCAGGGTTCAATTGTAATTATTTGTTCAGTGATAAAAAAAAATACACACTTGATAAAACAGCAAAGAATTTCACTCTAATGCTTATTTCAAATCATGAGATACAACACAAACATTCAGAGCAGGAACTGTGGCACCAACAGTGAGAGAGGCACATTCATAGAGCTTTAACGTAACACCTGAACAACCGCCAGTTCATGAAGGAAGCATTCATACTATGTAGAGCTTTAGTGAGAATAGAAATTGACCTTACCTCTGCAAACCTGACCCCTGGGTATGTGAGAAGGGCCCTGGAAACCTGCAGCTGGATGGCCTGAAGCGCTCTGCTGTATCCTCTCGCCTCATCACCAAGTTGGCATGTTTTCCCACAAACAGACTCCCAGACTCTGTCAGAGAAGCAGCCGGTGGGTAGAGTCCTCACTATAGCTCTGGTGCCTGTGCACACTGTCTTTTTGATCTTCTGATTGTTCTTGAGGTACCTCCTGACAAGGACAGTAGAGCGCTCTTTCTTGTTACGCACAAACTCGCTGTCAGACACAGTGCCCTCGCTGTCACTACAGTCAGGTACAGACAACCTGAAGGGCGTGGACCTCTTAAGGCATCTGCCCTGAAAGCATATGGGTTTGGTTTTCCTGTTGAGCCTTTCCAAACTAGAGAAGCCATTTTTATGGCACACGGCACATACGAAGTCCGTTCTGTCACACAATTTGTTATACATGGCAGTGCCGCAGCCATTGGTGCATTGAGGCCCTTGTGGTGAGGATACTGGCACACTGTTTCGCCTCAAATCCAGCCCGCAGAACGGCAGGCTCTCCGTGTTTTGGCCGATTACGAGTTCCATCTGACACAGTTCACCATCCGAGCCACTCAACGTTGGCTGTTCTTCAGCAAGGCAAGTAACATCAGAAGAAAACCCTTCTGCTTTCCTCTGCTGGGGCACCGTTCCCCAGCTTCTAGGAGGAAAGCTATTCTCCGGGCAGCCTTCTTCGCTTTCCACTGGATCGCAAAACCCACACATCTGGCAAACGTACAACCCTTCTTCCCCGTGCCTTGCAGCCCCACAGCTGCAGTTTTTGGACCTGTAGGTCTCATCTAAGCAATCCAAACTCTTAGACCTAGTATCCAAAGACTTCAGTATTCTGCCCTCTGTCCCCAGTAAGTCCCCCTCCAAAGTCCCGAATGAATAATGGACCAGAGCCTGAGGGGATACGCTCACAGGCAAGCCGTAGTTCATGGATATGAGAGCATCTCCATTACTTGCCGAATTCTCCTTTCCGAGACTCTTCACTCCCAGCACAGCGGATGTCTTCTCGGAGGCCATGGAGCTCATGAGGCCAATATGCGCCTGTCTCTCCACACGAATCCTCATATCACTTGGCACCTGATGACAGATCCTCCTTGCTCAACTTACACCAAAGACAAAGTTCTGGCAAACCACCCCTAGAGAAGATAGCCTTGGGATGAGAGAGTATCTCAGCGGGTCTGTCTGAAGCGGAAGCTTTAGGATGACTGCCGCAGAAAGTGACGGCTGCGTCTTCTCAATTTTTTCGCCCCTCCCGACTCCCAAGAACTCAGGGGCTCAGAACACTAGACGAGAGGGGAATCAACAAAAAATTAAAAATTCAATAAACAACATCTCTTGCCACACAGTATTTTAAGTGAACTGAAAATGTTCACTGAATAAATTAAGAAATATGACAATGCAAGAGCAAGAACATAAACATACTGTAACACACTGGATTTACGGCCTGGGAAAGGCTAGAAAATGTCTCAATCCTTATCAGAGCCAAGCTGTTTTGTGTCTTACTAGGTGCTATCTGGGGAAGTTGTTAAAATTGCACTTCACCCACAAATGTTGTTTAAAACACTGAAGAAATATTTCAAGGACAGGATGTACATTTTGACAGCATGAAATGAAAATTCACATCCACTCATTAATATCTCCCTCTCAGGAGATCACACAGCTGTCCAAAATCTTACTACAGGCTGCAGCCCCACAGTCCTATACAAACCCACAGGTCTCTGGAATGTAAAGCCTTGCTTGGAGGGGGTAGGATGAATGAGATTAAAGGGGGGCATTCGCTGCATTGATTCTGGGTGAATTCAGCCAGTCAGAGTCTTCAAACATGGCTCAGTTCCCACACCCACACAGTCAACGATAAATCACTGCGCTAACACAGTGAGGAGTACTTCTTTCATAACTCAGCACTTGTGTGCTTGTAATCAGACATGGACCTGGTGAAAGGGAAGAGTGTCAAAGACACTACAACACTGCTAAAATTGTGTAGGGACAATCTATTTCTCAGGCTGAATAAAACAATAAATGCTGACTGTCTACAAACTCTACATTTTTATATTTTCTTTAAAAAAATGTGAGTGGTGCAAAACTGAGCAACTATTATGTCGCAAGGCCAGTAGGCCACTGCTTAAAACAGGTGATGTGGTTGATTTATACACCTAAAATTAGGGAACAGTTCACCAAAATTGACAATTCTGTCATTATTTACTCATGAGACATGCAAGTGGCATTTTCCAATCACAGACATCATCAAACCACTTTTAAAATCTGAAAGCAAATATGTTTTCAGAGCTTCAGTCAAGATCCTTTTTATCTGTGAATAATGTCCCGTTCTTCTGTTCTCCACTCAAAACTCTTGTATGATTTGGAATAAGGTAAACAATACCTGTGAAGCCACTTAACAAGTTTTGTCCTTATCTGCACCCAGAATTAATTCTCCAACATTACTAAAGCACATTACATACGCATTCCTGCTGTAGAATGAGATCACAGGACAGATAAACCTGACACACCTTTGTCCTTATGACAAACTGTCATATGTTCACATGACTTCATGGGGTAGTCTGACTATGAAGCGATGGCAAAATATAGGTTTTTCATTTCACTTTCATTCTGGCCAGTTGTTAGCCTGTTGTTTAGTGACTGATGGGTGTTCTGGAGGGTTACATACTTGTTAAAAAACCCACCCACCAAGTCTCTATGAACTGCTGGTCTCTGAACTCGGGTCCCATCGTCGATGTATATAGGGCTGTTCTAATAGTGCATCTGACATTAGGGGTTTAAAGAGCAACAATAATCGCTTGTATTAACAAACTCAACTAATTACAGTTCTTTTTAACAGCTGTGAAAGCTTAGAAGTACTGCAAGCCTTTATTTGTATATTTTACATTATGTGAGATTGTATCCAATCTGTCATGGTCATTTCCTGTGGTCATTTGCCAACGACTGACTTGTCTGGTTATGTCAGCCTGCCTGCAGTGGGTGTTATGTGCATTTGTGCCCTAAAAACCTGAACTTGTCAAAGACACCTTTTACTTATCTAAACTATGAACTGTAGCAATAAAGAGGCTGCATATCGTGACTCCAGTGAGGAGGGCGGGGATGAGTGTCTGTTGAGGCATGAGGCCATTGTAATGCTTGGAAATTACGGGAATTCCCACCTCCCCAAATCCACCTCCGCACCCCCTCCTTCTCCCCGTCTTTTCTGAAGCCAGCACAAACTAATTATCTGATCTAGCTTGATTCTGTTCCCATGCAACAGGCGGCTACTGGAGCAAAGCCTCATCCAGACTTGGAACAGTTCATCTTAATAAAATAAAGTGTATGTGTGGGTAAACAATGCCATCAATGACAACATACATGCAGGCTTAATACAGATAAAGGTAATCTAAGCTAACAGCCCATCATAAATGAAACTAGGTCAGCTGTTGTTGATCTCCAACCAGTGTTATTGCAGTTAAGGCTGGAATACACTACACTTTTACAAAGTCTTTTACAACTTTAACAAACTCAGCAAGTGTATGATGCGACGCATGATGTTTTAAAATCTGTTCATATGTTAAAACATTAGGCATCATACATTTGCTGAATGGTTGCAGAGAGAAATAAGGAAGAAAAATAATGACTAATGTCTTTGAAACAAAAAAGCATGTTGAATTTCACTAACTGAAAAATAATGCATTGCATTAACAGTGCTTGCATTTTAATGCCGGAATTTAACAGTTGTTTATTTAAGCAGTGAATATTTTAAATAATAACATTTCACACACATTTTCATAATTAAAAATACAATAATTCATATTCACCTTCCAGAGTTCACTTCCGAAATAGTCAATCTGTATAAAAATACAGTGTATAATATTCGACAGGCAATTTTCAGTCCATTTTATTTCACTTTACAAATTCGCTTCCACAAATTCAGTGGTTCAAATTCGGCAGAAAAATCAGCATTGCACATCCGGGAACTGCAGGAATAGCAGTAGAGTACCAATGCATGATCTCCATCTGCTATTAGTCGCTCAACAGCAGGTGGTGCGAGCGGTTTATTAAACTTTTTCAATGCTTTATTTGAACATTTACATTAGATATTTCAACATGCTATTAAACTGTTGTCAGTCAAGTAGTCATTTAAAATCCGAACATCATTAGTAATGTTATTGTTTTAGTGATTAAGCAAACAAAAAGTAATTTTATTTGTTGTTTGTTGATTTTTAAATATAAAACTTGGTGAAGTGATTTATGTGTCTGTACTTTTTTAACATCTCCAGCACATTTTAACAATACCGTGATAATACTGATAACCGTGATCATTTTGGTCACTATAATCGTGATAAGACATTTTCATGCCGTTACATCCCTATCAATGACTAAACGGATTCATAATCTGAAGCTAAAAAATCTAAAAAAAAGTCTGTGCCCATCATACACTACATGATTTTATGTGAAATCAGTCAACCCTGACTGCCAAAAATCTGCAGACTTGCCATGATTTTAGGCAATTAGCATTCATTTAAACTTAAAGGGGGCAGTTTCCCGGTCAGGGTTTAAATTAAGCCAGCAGTAGGCTTAATCTAGAATAGTTAATCATGGTTTAAAAATTGCTTTCTGAAAACACAGATTAAGTGCAGATTACTAACTCCTGGACTATGGAGTCCTGAACGAAAATAAACTAGATTAATTTAAAACCAACTGTGCTAATCTGAATTAGTACGACAGAGGTTGCCTATAAAACACGAAATGAACCAAGAAAAGCTTAAAATTGTATGGAGCTGAGAAGCAAATCCATGGAAAACAATAGCAGTTGAAAAAAGACTGCAATCCCAAAAAAAAAAAACTTTACTGAACAAGAGAAAACTTTTTTAGCAAGCAAATTAACCGCACACATCAGGTGTCAAATAAAAGTAAAGGAATGCCCAGAAATCTCTTTGTAATGAATTCCTGCATTAATTCTTGCAATCAGCTGTTGTTGTCAGTTTTGCAACATTATTATTATTAATTATTAAGTAATACATAAAGTAGCTGTTTTAGAGAGAGAGAGTGTCATGGTCAGAATTATTTTGGCACCCTAAGATTGTTAATCCTTTTGATCTTTCAAAAAAATAAAAAAATAAAAAAAATACAAATCACATGACAGAGAAAGCAGATTTCTGTTAATCTGGTTTAAAGGGCCATTTTAGTCTAGGACTAGGCTTAATCTCTGTCTGGGAAACCGCCCCATAAACTGTAAAATGAAAATTATAAATGTTGACTAGCAAACAACTGGAATAAGTATAGGTTAATGTACTAAAATTAATACAAATAAATAAATAAAATAAAAATAATGTAAATAAAAATAAATGAAAGCCAAGTAGAAATATAAAAAATACAAAAAAAATGACAAAAGCACATAAATTACAAAAACTTTAAATAAAAACATTAAAAATATAAGCTAATTAAAAATATTAAAATATACTATAATAGTATGTAAATAATGCTAAAATAACAGTCTCAGCCTGACTGTGCTTTTCTTGAGGCCTCAATGGAAAGATGACATACAAAAAAAAAATAATAATAATTATATATATATATATATATATATATATACACACACACAAATAAGTGATGAAAAGTAGGGATGTGTCAATAATAAAATTGGAAAAAAAATTAACTTAAATGATTTTAGCAAATGGCTGCAATATAACAAAGAGTGAAAAATTTAAGGGGGTCTGAATACTTTCCGTACCCACTGTATATGAGCACCAAACAAGCAGTGGCAAAACATTATATTCTACAGATACAAGCTGATACAGACAGATACCAATTCAAGCAGACAATTTGTAAAAATCAAAGAAATCTCCAGATCACTGCAGGTATGTCCAAACACTTGAGAAAGACACCTCTCGACACTAAATCAGTATTTGATATATCATAAATCTACAGTCCAACGATCTTTGATCATTTGTGGGTGTGTCATGTCTTCTGACAGTCATTCGTGTTTAGCTACATGAAGCTCAGGTGTGTCAACCCAGATTCCGTTTCACAACACATGAAACAGTCTGTTCTGATTCCTCACACGGACACCATTTTACACAAAAGTGTTCAAATTCTGAGTACTGAGTATTGGCATAACTGATCAAAGGTCTATGATTATAGGCTTGTTTACAGCAAAGCAAAAGTTCCCATCTGATCCCAGAACAGTAACAGAGTAGCCTACTACTCGCCTCAAAGTCTTTCTCCATCTAGTTTTAATAAAAAAACGATGTGGCATGTGAACTGAATCAGGCGAGTTTTCCATCTATTCACATTTTCCAGGCTGGTAAATGAAAATGGATTGTATGAGTTTGAGCCTAAAGAGCCCAAACCCCAGGATCACTCATGCAAGATCAGGTTACAGAGCTGGTCAGCTCAGTCACAGCACAGAGACTTTACTAGAGCAACATAAGATTTCCATTAGAAGCCGATTTCACCAACCTAGACTTAGGGGAGCCTGTAGAGGCAGAAAGGGGGGACAGAAAAATGTCTCAGTGTGCTTTTGGGAGAAAGTACCTTTTACTAAAATATTTCCTCAAATGCATGCAATTCTGAAAACTGATCATCATCATGATGTCACACACGATTTAAAAACATCACCACATGTCTTTTACAGAAGCATCCGCTCTGTCACAGACTCACAGTCAAACCTTTAACACCTGCCTGATCACTGAGAACATGTTTCTAACAAAAAATGTTACAAAGTACCATAGCAACAATGTTTTTGGTCATGTCCAAAACATGGTATTATGGTATCATGCTAGTACCATGGTATCACTTGAAATAAATGTTATAACAAAGTATACATATACACGAAATAAAACAACTGAGGTGAATGAATATGCGCGAGTATCAAGAAGACAAACAGTCTGTCTTTCATTAATTTCCGACTGTAGTACACAGACAACACAATTTATCAACTAACACGCTACATCAAACGTGATTTTGATGTACAGCTGTAGTATATTCACATAAACACAAGAATTATCACTACAAACATAACATAACACGTGCCAAGGATAGGAGAAACAACTCACCGTTGCAGAGTCACACCAGAAAACCGTCTCACACGCGAAACCGGGTGAAACTTCATTCTGGTTTCATAAAATGACTGTTAAGTTTGCAGAGCCCCGCAACAACCGTAGTGAAACAAAGTTGCGTTTACGTTTGTAGTGGCGGGAAACTCAGTCAGTCATTCCGTCAGCAGCAGCGGAGCCGCTTGCGAGCACAATAGCTGCAGAGGTGTCACTGCATACTGTGCATAGGAATGTCTGAGGACTTTAACTCACTGTAGCGCTCAAGAGACTGACACACTTCATTACTGTCACAGACACATGCTTGCATGTCTTCATAAATACCTAATATTTTAGGTTACAGAGGGATACTATTTTTTTTTTTTTTTTTTTACAACCATTGTAGTAACATTTTTAACCATTTCCAGGGAGCCTTCTTGCTAATCTGAATCAGAACAATTTGAAATATGGAGCGGAGAGCAGCCGAACGCCATCTTTCATGCAGGGTGCGATGAATCCAGCATCTCCCAACAAAAACACTGGATGTGAGAAAATGATTCTGCTGATCTGTAACAGAGCCTGCACTGGCCATCAAGGACGGAGGTAAAATTATTGTCTTTCCGACATGCTCACACGAGTCGAAGTTCCATTATTTTTTACACAATATCTTACAGTACATGGAGAAAATGTAGTAATCTCATTATACACAATATAATGCACAAACTGGAAAATCAATACAGTACTTTCTGTTTGTTGCAGGTTCGGTCTTCCGTTTGTACTATATCTAGAGCGCTCTGTGACATGGGATGTGTTACAGAAAGAAATTCTGGAGAAAATGCGTCACCTACTAAGGCCAGGGGTTTACATTCAGGTCAGTGAAACCTCTACTTGTTGTTAAATACAGGTCTTGAAATGCAAAGTCAGTACATTTAAATTACTTTTTTTGTTACATAAAACTTGCACTTCTGATAAAGTCGATTGGTGATTTTAGGTTGGACCCTTTAGTCTGCGTGTGGTCGGAGTAGTTGGAATCACATATCTGTTGCCACAGGAGGAACAGCCACTATGTCACCCCACTGTGGAAAGGTTTGTAATGCATAACCATGTGTTCAGAGCATATTGTGTGAACTTAAATTTCAGGTGTGACATGTATGTTGTTCTACTGTTCTTCCACAGACAGTTCTTCCACAGGCAAGCAAATAGTCAATACTTTTATTACAACAGCATTTTTAATTACACAAACCAAAGACATTTTATGTTACGCTAGATGAATTAATGATTGTAGTTGAAAAGTTTATTATAACTGCTTTAGTGTGATCATTGAATTTAACACGTGTAATAAAACAAAATACTACAAAGCTTGATTCTTCAATTTGTTATTTTCTTGGCAAACATCATGCCTTTCCTCAATCTTTCCTTTTTAGAGCATATAAATCCTGTGGGCCAGGTGGACCTCCTCATGTTAAGATTGTAGTGGAGTGGGACAAAGAGACCAAGGAATAGTAAGTAAAAAACTCAGTCAGTCATTCCGTCAGCAGCAGCGGAGCCGCTTGCGAGCACAATAGCTGCAGAGGTGTCACTGCATACTGTGCATAGGAATGTCTGAGGACTTTAACTCACTGTAGCGCTCAAGAGACTGACACACTTCATTACTGTCACAGACACATGCTTGCATGTCTTCATAAATACCTAATATTTTAGGTTACAGAGGGATACTATTATTATTATTTTTTATTTTTACAACCATTGTATTTATTGATCCTGTTTCGACTTTTAGGACTATTTTTTATTGGTGGAGCAAAAACAGACTATGATACTAATATGATAGTAAAATATGAATATTTACACAGCACTTAGTTTCATGCTCTAATTCGATTGGCTAAGCGGTATTCCAAGAGCGCTGATATTTTCAGTGGTCCTTTCTGCAGGTTGCAACATTATGCCAATAGTTGCCAAGAGACTGTATTTATGAGTGAGTCACTGAATCGTTCATTCATTCATTCAAACAATTCATTCAAAACACCCATTCAGTCACGCGCTATAATTTTGTTCAGAGATGGGCAACTAGTTTCGACTGTTTTCATCAACCAGTGATCCTGTTTCAGCTTTTCATTGGTGTAGCAAAAACAGACAAATTACTACATATGACCAAGGGGCAACCTCCCGCTCTCTCTCTGGCGAAGCCAACAAGGAAGTGACTTAAACTGTAATTCGTCAACTGGCCGCTAGAGGCTGGCTGCAAAAGGGAGTCAATCCCATAGACTCCCCATGTTAAAATGCCCAACTTTACAGCAGAAAAAAACATGTTTACAGCCTGGTTCAAAAAATGATTTTGGTCTATATAGCTAATTTTGCCCTTCATGACAACTGTGAGGGGGGTGAATTTTTTTATAACTCATCCGTTTAAATTATATTAAGCCTTAAAGTTCTGCATAATTAAGGGCGTGGCCACTTGAGTGACAGGTGGATTGCAGCTGCTGTCACCACCATCGAGCTAGGTGGGCGTGGTTTCAACAACCAGCTCCCGCCTCTTTGCCCATCTTCGATTATCCGGGAATGAAGCACGGTGACGCACTGCCAAGATGGCGATGGCCGGCTCCGCCCACTTTTGAGCTTCAAAAACTCTCTTTGGAACACTACAGGTGACGTCACGGGCACTAAGTCCATGTTTTTATACAGTCTGTGCATATGACATGGTAGTCATGTGTATTAGATATCACATAAAAGATTAATTTTTCACAGTACTTCATTTCGTCCTCAAATTAGATTAGCCCAGCTGTTTTCCAAGAGTTCTGAAATGAAGAGGGAATTTTCATTGATCCTTTCTGCAGGTTACATCGTTATGCCAGTAGGTGGCGACAAGTGACTGTATTTATGAATGAGTCATTGAATCATTCAATCAACTGATCTATGTAAAACACAGATTTATTCAGTAATGCTACTACTATTTTGTTCAGAGACATGTAATGGTTGATCCCGTTTGGACTTCTGGAACTGTTTTCATTGGTGGAGCAAAAACAGACAAAATACACCAGCAGGTGGCGACAAGTGACTGTATTTATGAGTGAGTATTAATTTAAAGGGGTCATATGATGCTTTTTTAAAGATCATTATTTTGTGTATTTGGTGTAACAGAATATGTTGACATGCTTTAATGTTCAAAAAACACATTATTTTTCAAATACTGTACATTATTGTAGGTAGGTGTCATAGCAAAGTCGGAATTGACCCTTTTTTCTTTTTTTTTTTAAATGGCCTTTGTGCACAGCCAGCTTTGTACTCTTCTAGGTTCAAAAAACTGTGGTCCATAAAATGCGTTGCACAAATTCGAACATCTGGGTTGTGCTGTTCTGTTGTAAATAAATCTTAACCAATGATTCCTAATTGCATCTACTTCTGGAAGGCCAAATAAAGTGCTTTTGCTTTCGCACTGAAACACACAGCGTCTCCCTGACATGCTGCATCAACACTACTGCTGTTCCTGAAACCACGCCTTCTTTCTTTGCGTGATCATTTGGGCGCATTATGCAAATATTTCCACATGGTGATGTAGATATGTGGGGGCGTGTTAGAATGAGCCGTTTTAGGGGGGCGTGGCAGAGTCTTAACTTTGATAAAGAATATCTCTTTGGTTTTGAGACTTTAGTCTTTGCAACTTCAGGGATCTTATCTATGCACAATCAGCTTGTAACACTCCAAAGAGAAAGGAAAACTTGAAATCGCATCATATGACCCCTTTAAAACACTTCTTGCAATAACTCCACTATAGTGTATTGTTTTGGAGACATGCAAAGGTTGATTTTACTTCGACATTTGGAATTATTTTCATTGGTGGAGCAAAAACAGGCAAAGCAACAGGCAATGTTGCGTCTAATTTGTAAGTTACTCGATACGAAGCCATATGCGACACAATATTGTGTTAATCCCACATTGTTTGACATTTAAAATTGAATTATTTCTATTATTTATTTATTTAAAAAAAAATTTACCAGGGTATACCATTCTTTAAAGAACTGTAGACTACAATTAGTCAAGTGCCATGACACTAGTAGGAATGCTGCATGGGCATTATCTGGTTTTGGCTACATTTTAAGGTTACTTCCTATGGCTGGATTGATAACATTGTTTGATTTCCTGTTGTGCCAAACTAGATTAATTATACAATTGCTTTATTGGATGAAACTAAGATCACAAAGTGATGCCAGATGTTTTCATGTAGTAAACACATGTTCAAGTTTTTGTATTGTGATAGTTTATTCTTTTTTCTGAATGTTTGTTATGCTTTGTTTATGCATGCAGTGGTAATCCACACCTAAACAGCCCAAACAGAGGGGTTTGTATCCAGTTCCTCCCAGCATTCACTACTCAATCTTAAAAAAAAATAACCCCAGGGAATATCAAATGGGCTATTAGGCACAGGATCATATAGAAATATGCCAATGTATATTCACTTTAACTATGTGTTTGTATTCTTGGCAGAATAGCAATGATTTTTCCGATTCTCAGTCCACAAGGAGGGAACTCTTATGCCATCCAAAAAGAATGCGCAGTTCTTCCACTCCCAGTCTGTCTGTCACATGTAATCCTACAGCATGTGGAACTGTTGCTTTCCAGTTGCAATTCATTTACAAAACCACACAAGAAAGCCTTTGTTTATTGCAGTTCACTATGACAGTCTTTTATGTGCTTTTATGATTCCGTTTTTTGATTCAGTGCAATTATATCTGATGTTTGCACGACTGGAGCTTGTTGCACAACAATGCAGACATAATTTTGTGTTTTTAGCTCGGGTTTTTGATCATTATTTTTCGGTTATTAAACAATTAGATTATTAAACCATGCCTCGTGCAATTGTAAATATTCAAATAAGGCTGTCACAGGTTTGTACAAAAGTGTTTGCTATTCTGGTGGTACTTGCAACTTCATAATCTGTCACTCTGTGGGCTTTTTGTTTTGTCTTTCCATCTAAACACCTGCAAGTGAAGGTTTTCATGAACTGAAGTCTCAACAATTTAAAGGTGGTGTTGATCTAAACCTGTCTTTGTCACCTCCTGATCTGTGTTACACTGCTTCCCTCTACTGGATAGTAACGTCAACGGATGACTTGAATAATAAATGGATGCTGACAACACAGTTTTGAATATCCTCACTCAGAGTGACTAAGCACTTTTATATAATCAAATCTAATGTTTGTTTATTCACTTTGTAATTATTTGTTTATATCTGTAACGTCGGTTATGTGTTCTTTTGCACAAATGTTGTGATCTATCATCCATTATATCATTTCTTTGATTTGCAGTTTCCATGTGGCAGAATGTGATTTTTTTTCACTGATAGTTTAGACTACTTTTTTTAATGAATGCTTGACATGTGACAAAATTCAAAGATTAAAATAAATAATTTGACCAAAGAAAATAATGAGACAAAATGTAAACAATATTCTGCCACATTCTGATGTATTTTCTCAAATAATTCCAGATTAAGATTTTAAAAAGTCATACTATACAGCTATGAAAAATCATTTTATATAAAATGTTGACATCATCACATTTAAATCTATACTTAATATACTGAGCTATAACCACACAAATGTACTTATAATAAGCATCAGAAAATGTCAAACTTCATTCATTCAGTTTTTTTTTTTTTTTTAAATTATAAATAAAAACAAATAAAATAATATTAAAATAAAACAATATTATTGGAGTACATTTTAAATGTTTGTCTTTGTAATTTCACTTTTAATGCAATGTGTTACTTGCCATTTCTTTTTAATTATTTGTGAAATTTACAAGCAATTTCTGAGTAAAAAAATGTTTTTCAGTGCACTGATGAGATACTATAACGATTATGAAAATTAACAAAATTAACATGTACAATATATATTATAATGAACAACATGTTGTGGGGACACTGTATGCTTTTAACATAATTGGCAACGAAGATATCTAATGTTTTTAGATTTTAAAGGTATCGTCTTTGAAATTCATTGCATTCTAATCCTGCATCATTGAAATGTAATTCAAATGACAGTCCTGTGTCTGTTTGCTACCTCAGATTTAAGACATTTTAAAGGCATCCACAGTTCACTTCTGAATGGTGAATGCTGGCAAACATGTGGCATATTTTGGCCAAACCCCATAAAATACCTGTTTGGTGTGCATCTGTTTGCTTTTACATGCAACATTTTTATTCATTTATAGCAGACACTTTTATCCAAAGCGGCCTACAGATCCAACACTATTACAACAATATGAAATTAGTTGAATAACAACTTTAGTACGTTTTTCATAACAGATTTACATTAATCCAAAGTAAATCATAAGTGAGGGAAAATGCAATAAAAGTTAGAATGAGTAATATAAGTCATACTGAGTGTATTAAATACAAATATAAGTGTATTTTAGATTAAAGGGTGATAGATTAAAGGGTGTAACTGAAATAGCCGAAGCCTTAATTAGAAGGGAATGTTCCATGTGTGTTTATTGAATCTGTGTCGATCT